CACACACACACACACACACACACACAAACATGCGCACACACACACACAAAACCACACACAACACACTTGTACCCACACAGTTTTGTTGTTGTTGTTGAACGTCGGACACTCATCTAATAGCACGGTTTCGTCCCAATAAGGCTCAGAGAAAGACATCTTTAATCTTTAACTTTAAGGGAGAGAAACTATTTAATCTGCAAGCCTTGTCAAATCACATTAAATTTGTGAGAGACATATTACTGTCTTGGAAACCAACTTGATTCTTTCTGCATCTCTTCAGTAGAGTTGGGCGGAGAATCGATTACGGAACCGACTCCCACGAGTAATGCTACAGAAGAAAAGTTCAGACTTCTTTTTACGAAAACCAACAGTTACCGGTTACTTTAATCATCCAAATCTTTTCTTTTTTAAAATTTGTTTTCGAGAAATAAAAGCTGATGCTTCGTAGTGTTCGGAAATCAAGTTTATCCTAAATCCAGAAGATGTTCGGAGCCAATTAGGTGACCACTGGAAGAAATCACATTGTTAGAAAGTAAGTAATAGGGTTCGGAGTCGATATATTCCTACGATTCCAAGCTTTCAATAATCGGGAACCTAGCCGCCCAGCACTACTCTTCAGCTGCTGGTTTCTCTGTTTCTGTTTCTGTTTCTGCGTCACGTCTTTCTTTCTCTTGACTTTTCTATCTCTTTGTCTGTCTCTCTGTTTTGTTTGTTTTAGTAGAGGTTTTACGGCGCTCGTAACTGCGTAAGGTCATATGAGCGCCAGAAGATTAGAGGTGTTACAAGAGAGTAACAAACATAAAAAAAGAAGGCGGGGAGATAAGGACGATAGATGTTTGATAGGAAAGAAGAAGCAAACCACACCAGAGCACCCGCCAACCACCCACTGTCTTTTCTGTCTGTCTGTTTGTCTGTCTGTCTGTCTGTCTGTCTGTCTGTTTGTCTGTCTGTCTGTCTTGCTTGACTGCTTGCTGTCATGTGTTTTCTCACGTTTTGATTTTCTGCCACTCTGAGCTTTGACAAGGTTAAAGTTCGTATTTTGTTTCTTTCCCCCCTCCAGATATTCTTGTCTTACCGAAGTACGATGTAAGTCATCCAGAAAACGAACAAGTCCGTCGAATGCTCTAGAAGAAAAGTTGCCTCTGCAACACATCGTACTGTTTTCGTTACTAGATGTCCAAAATGTCGTCCAGCTACACGAGTTACAGGCGCCGCTACTCGGAACCAGAGAAGCCCCAGCCACGCTTCCAGTGGCGTCTGCGCGTCAATAGCCTCATGATGGACGAGGGAGACCACGCCCCCTCTCGTGTGGAGCGCGGGGAGCAGCGAGTGGACGGGAGGCGGAGACTTCGCTCGACAGAGGACAAGAAGGCGGAGTCTGTGGGCACGGACAGCAGTGGCTCGGCCAATGACAGCAGTGGGAGGGGCGGCGAAGCGGGTGGGAGGAGCTATGAAGCCGATAGGCGTGGCAATGACGCCGCTGGTGGGGCACACTCCGGTTCTGATAGGTCGGAAGCGGAAAGAAGGCGGGACAGATACACGAGGACTCAGTCTGAGGGACAGCTCAAGCTGAGGGTTCGCTTCTCTCGAGAGGCGGAAGAGTCTCACGAGGAGGAGGCGGATGAGTCGTGTGCGGAAAACGCCTCTGTCAGCCGCGGCAACAGAGAGCGACGTTTGACAGCGAGATCCAGCTCTGACGAGGCGTACGGCGGATGCTCCTCCTCCTCTCCCCAGTCCTCTGTGTCACCGGCTGTCAGCGAGGGCGGGACGGGGCGGGGCGTCAGAGAGCGCCGGAGCAAGTCCCGCAGTCTGGGGTTGTCGGAGAGTCCTTACTCCAGCCCCAGTCGGAGTGACAGCGGGGCGGGCTCAAAGCGCTTCTCACAGAGCAGCGTGGGCTCCAGCGACGGCTTCAGCGAGTCTTTTGATTGGCCAGAAGAAGACGAAGAGGAGGAGGAGCAGGAGCAGGGGGAGGGGACAGAGCAGGCGCAGCTGAGCGTGTCCCCGCCCAAAGACGACAAGGCAACCGCCTCAGGGTGTTCTCCGGGACCTTCCTCTACCACCGCCCATGGTGATTCTGGCTCATCACGTGATCTTCATGAGCGCACAGCAAGGTCAAGGACAGAAGAAACGTCGGCGGGAGAAGCTCGGGGCAGTGTGAGCACGACATGCGTCAACGTCTTAGGAGAAACCAGAGAGAACCTGTCTGAGGATAAAACAGAATCTGTGCCCACGACGTCCACAGACGATCATCCTGTAGCGCCCGTGGTTGAGCCGAGTCCACGTCACGAGAGTCGAGAAACGCCACCACAGGAGGGAGCTTGCGGGTTTTCCCAACCCGGGACTTCGGAGAACGTCGAGACATCAAACGTGGAGGAAATGGAGGCCGGGCGTGTTCAGCTTGTCAGTCCAAGAGAAGAGACCTTGGGCAGCGGAGGTGTAACCGAAACCGAAAAAGTTTCGCGTAACGGTTCAGAACAACATTCACTCCTGGAAGAAAACGTAACCGAGTCTTCGAGAACGGGGAAATTTCTAGAGAATCTTTCAGCAGAAATGGCAGGCTCTTTGCAAGAGAAATCTTCACACGGCGCCGGGACGTCATCGAGTGCTCGTGGCTGCCCAGACGATGACGACGATGGAAGTATCGAGCGTATTCTGGAGCAGATAATGGCGGAGGAAGAGGAACAGGAAGCTTTGGAGGAGGGCAAAGGTTGCAGCGCCAGACTTCTGAAAGCGTCCTTGGAGCTGATGTCTGGGACTGAACTGGACGACCTGAAACGTCAGGCGCGGGATTTCCAGCAGGCCGTGTCTGAGTGCAACGAGGAGCTGGTAGGGGAAGAGGCCGGGGAGGAAGGAGAGGAATCTTTCCAGAATGTTCGTCGTCATCGTCGGCGTCATCATCTGTCGAGTAGTTCTGACGACGACAGAGAGGGGGAGGAGGAGGAGGAGGACCGGACCGTTGTGCCTTACTCCAGGCCAGGAGGCAGGGAGGATGGGGGTGGGAGGGGCGACGGTTGTGAGGACGATGATGATGATGAGGAGGAGGAGGAGGAGGAGTTTGATACGTGGGCTGAGCTGCCTGTGATACTGCTAGAGGATGTGTTCACCCTCCTCACGCCCAAAGAGAGACACCAAGCCTCACAGGTTAGTCTAGGTCCCTCATGTTGTTGGATTATGCTTTGGTGTGGTCTGTTTCATTTACTTCTTTTTGTTCTATATTTTACTCTTCTCTTCCTCCTCCCCTGATTCCCTTCCTCCACCTCTTCCTTCCCCACCCCCCTGATTCCCTTCCTCCACCTCTTCCTTCCCCACCCCCCTGATTCCCTTCCTCCACCTCTTCCTTCCCCACCCCCCTGATTC